CTCCTTGTAGGGTCTCATAGCACATGAAGGCAGGAACCCGGGAGAAAACGGTCTACTCCTTGCAAGAGCCAGAGAGGCGGGCAGTCGGAGCCAACGTCGAAACGATCATAAGCAGAGTCTGGAACAGCCAAGACCCCGATGTTTGGGGGAGATGCCCTAAACCCTAACCGTTAAACCCCTAAACCCTAAACCTAACCTTTCCCGGATGTTTTGTGGAATGTGCCCACGATACGGCTTTAGAGTCAGCTGGGCAAGCAAGCTCGACCGTTGGTCATCACTTGTTGAGCCAATCAACCCAATTATTGTGGCCGCTCCAATAACCTACTTATTAGGGCCCTGAAGTACAGGGTACAAGTAGGGGCCCCTTACTTATACTAACCTTAGTTAAGGGAGTTATAACTTACATAGTAATACTTATAGCCCAAATCAGGGCCCTATAACCCTATATCTATAACGGGGGGGCCCCTACTGTAAGGGTCCGAGTTTTAGAGTCATTGTACGGTTCTACAGTGCATTTGGGGGGGTTGAGTTGCCCAGCAGGTGGCAAGGAAGCCTCGACTCATATCGGCCCCAACCTTTCGAAACCCTCAATCCCACACCTGCCCTAAACCCGAAACCCTAAAGCCCTAAAACCCTAGAAGCCTCAAAAGCCCTGAACGCCCTTTGTGGGCCTCATAAGAAGGGCACCCCTAAACTTAAACCCTAAACCCTAAACCCTAACCCTAAACCCTAAAACCCTAAACCCTAAACCCTAAACCCTAAACCCTAAACCCTAAAACCTAAACCCTAACCCCTAAAACCCTAAACCCTAAACCCCAAGGGCAACCTTGGGTCCAAGTGTCTCCGCTAGCGTTAGGCTCCGGGCGACTTCAGAGCACGCGCCGAGAATGGGCCCAAGCCTGTAGGGTTTTGGTGGGTTTAGCGATTAGGGTTTAGGGTTTAGGGTTTAGGGTTTAGGGTTGGGGTTTAGGGTTGAAAGGCATGGTGGGAGACCTTCTGCAAAAACAGGTTGGGGGGAGGGTTCGGTTTAGAGGCGATTGGAGAAGTAAGCAAACATTCAAAGACGAGTAGGCGACCCCCTCAACCCTAAGGCCAAAAACCACCCACAGGAGTTGCCCACCTTTGCGCCGGACTCTCGGTTTTTTGTTGGGACTTTTTCTTGGAGGTTTAATGTTACAAGGGGGGGCCCCTTCTAATTTGCGAGCTCTAAGAATTAGAACAGGGCGTTGGGGGTTATTTAGAACGGGAACATAAGGGATTACGAGTAGTATAATTATTCGAGCCCTATATTATACTAAGTAGAGTTTCTAAGCGGCTTTAGCCCAAGATCGGATCCTTCGAGCCATTTGGGGTCCTCATAACTGGGGCCCCTCCTTGTAAGGGCTTTCATAGCTCGTCTTAGTACCTCTAGGCAGAACTGCCCATGAGCCCCATGCACCTCCAAGTAGGAATGCACCACGGTCAAAGTCAGCTGCAGAGGACGTTCCGGAATTTTGGGGTTGAGGGGTTCGGTGGTTAATTCTGATAGGTTCGAGCATTTTGGGCCAACATCGCCCTGCTTGGCACATCGACGAACCAGTCGAAACTGAAAGCTATAGGGAGGGGCCCTAATTATATGCCAACTGCAGTCCACGCACATAGGGCCTAAGTTGTGCCCGAAGCTAAAAAACCCAAACCCTAACCCCCAAGTGGGCGCTTAGGACCTAGGGACTGGACTTATAACTGGACTGGAGCAGGTTTGAAGTGGGCACGGGCCCTCGCTGCCGTAGCCGCACCACCTGGCCCCCAAAGCCTCTCCCAGCTTCCGAGGGTTAGGTGGGTTAGGGTTTAGGGGTTTAGGGCTAGACTTCGAGTGGCAAAAAAGGGTTTAGGGTTAGGGTCTCAGGCATTGAGGGAATCGGGCTGGGGCTCAGCCTGATTCAGAGACTTCGGGGCTCTTGCTCTTAAGAGTTAGCATGTTACCAGGGTCCAGTCACCTACTCTGTTGGAGGTTGTGCCCGATGTTAAGGGGTTACAGCCTTCCATTTTGTAAGGTTTAGGGTCAAAGGTGGGGTTTTGTCCCTCAACCTATAGCCTAGACCTATACCATGAACAAACCCATGCTTTCAGGATTCGGATTCAGTTCCATTTATGGGGTTTAGGGTTTAGGGTTTAGGGTCAGTGTGGTCCGTGCTTCCGCTTCCACGCAGTACGGCAAAGTGCGCTTTGAGCTTCGAGGTTTAGGATTTACCCTAACCCTAAACCCTGCTCCCAAATAGTTTGGGGCTTAGTGTGCGCGAGCGGGCCTGCTGGAACAGCATGGGCCTCAGGACTAGCAAAAGGCTGTTTTTCACTATCATGAATTTGGGTTATTTATCTTCTAGTCTTGACAGCTCCCTTGGGGCACAGAATCTCACAGACTCTAGGACCCAGAGTAGGCCCTCATCCCTTTTCTTTAGAGGTTAGGCTCCCTCAGAGCCCACTTTACCCCCAACAAGTGCTTCCCTAATTCTAGAAGGAAGGTTGTAGGGTTAGGCGTAGGGGCCGGGGACCCCCCTAGATAGAAGTAGAGTTGAGGACCCAAAATGGGAGTGATAGGATCCTACCTTTTACTATAGTTAGTTACGTGAATGGGGCCCCCTTGTAAACCCAAGCCCGAACGCTTTGAACTGTCCAGGGGCGCCTCCCAAGTACGAGGCCTATTTTTCAGCAGCTCGGGATTGGAGCGATGCAAGAAAAGCAGGTTAGGGTTTAGGGTTTTAGGGATGGTTTGCGAGGCTTTATCTGAAGAGAGAGGTCGACAATGGTCTCGGCGTCATTGTGGGGTGTGGAGCGTGCATACGGACCACTCTAAACCCAACCTACACCTTCTCCCAAGGATGGTATACAGGACCGGAAAAAACTCAGGCAGTGGAACTTACCTTTGGAGGCTGTGGACTGCTTAAAAGGGATTTTACCAGGAGGCATCCTGAGCATAGTAGGGGACTTCCAACCTAGGTCAGGATCCTTGTACTTATAACCAGCGGGCGGCCCCTCTGGTAGGGCTTGGGTCTTGCATTCTTTTTGCCCTCTGGCCGGAGCCTCAGCAGTCCCGTGTTGGGATGAACCCCCCTTACGAACAGTCCTTAATAGGGATTATATTTCCCCCCCCCCCCCCCCAAATAGAATCCCTATCAAAGACTGTTAAAGACACTTCGGGCTCTCCAGAGGTGACGACTCGCTAGGAACCGTCGCCTTATCACTTTCACCCTAAGGCTCTAAGGCTCTAATGTTAAGGTTTTAGGGCCCAAAGGCCTTCTCATACAACTTTTGTGGTGCTTTTCTGTAGCTTTACATCTTTAGCCTTTTTGGGTTTATTGGGTTTCTTAAGAAGGCAGCTAAAAATATTAAATTTATAGCTACCCTGCTAAGAGCAGCCAAGACAAGGTTTTGGGGCTATTTTGAGCCTAAGGGTCTTGGATTGGGCAGATGTTGTCCTCTGGGTTTGAAGCCCGACGTTGCGCAGGCAGATGCCGATGGCACGCAGCCCAGATGTCGCCAAGACATCAACATACGGCATCCATTTTTCTTAGCCGAGAGTAGATCTTTACATGTTTTGGGTTTCCTTATTTTGTAGTAAACTAAAGTTTAACCTTGTCTTTCCTTGGCTATTGGAGAAGTAAGAGTCCATGCAGAGCTTGCCAGGACATCTAAAACAGCTCAGAAGGGCTTGGACCATGTTTGCCTTGTTTTGGGTTTGCCGGGTATGTGGTGTATGTAAGAATCTACGCATACGTTTGTGGACCCAGATTTCGGGATCCTACTGTTTAGGTAGCCTTGAAGATGATTGCAGATGTGAGGCCTGAGCATTGACATTCTTCTGAGCCTGCCTCGAAGAACCGGTTCGCACGCCGTCGGCCCATCTGAAAAATGGTCGGGCGCAGGACGTGATTGCCCTACGTGTCTAAGACCGGCTAGTTTTCCGAAACGCGTGTGTCTTAGTCCCCAGGAACCCTCAACTCAACCCTCAACCCGGCATCCTGTGCAGGCCCAGCAGTTGCTGTACTCCCAGGTGTTACCATCTTGGCAGCCGACATTCGCACTTCGAATCCCTAAGTCCTTGGTTCAGTTATTCTTCGGGCGGTTCCTTTCAAAAGTCACATGAATTCCAATCAGGGTTGCGGTTTGAAAGGCGCCCTTTCTCTTCGTATCTTCCAGCCAGTCGCAGCCACACAGGTGAATCCCAAATCCCAAACATTTGAAAGGTTGTGGGGTCTTATAGGGTTTAGGGCATGAGAACCTTGCAGGTGACGGGGGGGGGGGGGGGGGGGGCTGTTGTCAGGGCTTGCAGGTGTTTGGCTTGCTGTTGTGAGTTATTTCGATTTGTTTTTTTTTGTTTGTTTTTTTGGTTATTTATTGTTTGTTTTTTTGGTTATTTATTGTTTGTTTTTTTTGGTTATTTATTGTTTGTTTTTTTGGTTATTTATTGTTTGTTTTTTTTTTTTTTTGGGGGGGGGGGGGGTCATGCCCTATCTGTTCGTGCTGCAGGGTTCTGGGCAAAGCCCTCGAAAAATATGAGATGTTTCCTCTTATTGGGTTTAGGGTTTAGGGTTTAGGGTTTAGGGTTTAGGGTTTAGGGTTTAGGGTTTAGGGTTTAGTAATTATTGGGTTTAGGAGGATCATCTTTAGGGGGCTAAAGGCATTTTGATTGAATGAGCTCTCTGCTGTTGCAGCCATTTTGGCTTAGGGCTGCTGGGGCATAAATGTTCACTTTACTTGGCTTATCGTCTAAGGCCTTCAAACCCCACAATCCGAACTGGTGACCCTCCAGCTGAGCCTTGTTTTTGGAGCCAAAATGGCATTGGAGATCATTGTTTCTGTTGTTCTGACTCCGTCGGCTAAAACTGTGCGCCACATGGCTTCGAGCATGTCGTTCCTCCTTGTTCTCGCACTTTCTCCTGCTACCATCTTGCTCATTCTCTTCGTGTGCTTTCAAAAAGTCGGCGCACTCGTCTAGATCGTTTTCCTTGAGGCTCCTCGCAATGGCGCCTCTTCCGACCCTGCTGCTGGGGTTTGTTCTTCTCAATGCCGGCACCGCCCCATCCGCCACCAGTGATGCAAGTTCCTTGACAAGCTTGATGCTCAATGCTTCAACGTGTTTGGACGCCTCTGTGTGTGACAGCGACCGTGGCAAAGCTGCGACGCAGTTCCTCCAGGCGCAGGTCAGCAGATTGAAGAAGAGGGGGCCAAGTGGGGCAAGTGCAAGCCAAGTCCGCATGTCCTCACCGACGAGCCTGTCGCCTCAGATGCAAAAGGTTCTTTACGTTGCGGGTGGGATCCTCCTGCCGTGTTTCTTGCTGGTGCTGAAGTTCGCCAGTGTGGACGTACTGATGGGCATCGCAACCTTCCTGGACCACTTCATGTCAATGGGCCTCTTGCCTTTCTTACCGTCAGTCACGCCGAACTACCAGCTCATTGCAGCGTTGCAAAGTTCCAAGAATGTCGTGGTTTGCTTGCTGGCGCCCTTCCTCGGCAGGTTCATCGATAAGCGCGAAGCGAAATTCGTGCAGCTTGGCATGCTGTGTGGCATGCTATGCAGCCTTGGCTTTGCCCTGAAGAAGAGCTACGCCTTCTGGTTTGCGATGCGCACCCTGATGGGATTCTCAACGGCATCGGTTCTTTGGGGGAGCTTTGCGTACATCAATCGAATGTACGCCAGCGACTCGACGGCGCGCGTCAAGGCCGTGTCGACGGCCACGGCGGGCCTTTATGCCGGGATGGTTGCTGGTCCACAAGCTGCTGGTATATTGGTTGACTCACGGCTGATGTTTCTCGTCCTCTCGGGCTTGCAGATGTGTTTGTGGTTGGCTCTTCGCTTCCGATTGCCAGATCTGTCGCAGCTCCAAGAGCCAATGCCGAAACCGACTGAACCAGTGGAGAAGGTTCACGTGCTGGAGCTGATGCTGGACCCAGAGATCAGGTTTCCCATCGTTGCCCTTTTTCTAGGGGTAACCTTGGAGGCTGCACTAGGTGCCACAACTTGGGAGTACATGACAAGCTTGGGATATGATCATCTGAAGCAGAACCTGACATGGCTGATGGTTACAATTCCGGGCGTCATCTCTGTGAACCTGGTCCCCGCGCTTCGGTCGCTTGTAGAAGGTCACACGTTGCAGATTTCAGCGATTCTCTTAGGTGGGGCAAGTGCGCTAGCGTGTTTCGGCTCCCACTACGTTTTGCTGGCTCTCGCCCTGCTTGGCACCAGCGGTGCGTCCGGCGTGTTAAATGGAAATGGAGCAGCTATGTTGGCCGATCGAAGCCAGGAGAAGTACGACGGAACGGGCCAGGTGTTCGTTCTGTCCATGGCAGCAGACCAGGCAGCCTTCATCTTCGGGCCCTATTTAGGCAGTTCTTTGTGCCGATACGAAAGCTACCAAGTGATGTGTCATGTCATTGGCGGGTGCTTGGTGCTCTCTGCCATCCTCTTGTCGTGGCGTGGCGAAGGGTCAGAGGCGAAGCAGAACGCGACCAATGCGGCCATCCCGCCTGGAACTGAGCCGGGTACGCCAGCGGAAGCCGGTAGATCGTAGTGACAGTGAGAGTCATCGTCTCACACAATGCGAGAAAGAAATCCCTCGAGATGCTCACAACAACATGCAGCAGATACTGGATGAGTCCTTGGATCCTTCAACCCTGTACCCCTAAAACAGACTAATTGGGCTTTGTCCCACAGCATGAGTTCGTACGTATGTGCAATCGTACATGGGTCTCTGCGCAAACGAGGTCTCAGGGTCAAAGGGGCCGCTTTGGTCTCTTCTGGTGAGCTGCTCGCCCCAATTCGAATGTCACCAACGTTTTTGGGGCGCACTCCGGGAGGAGTAACCGAGGAACCTTCTGAAGTCTGTGCAAAGCATCGTGTAGACAGCAACTTGCGGAAAACAGAAAGGTTTCCCAATTCTGCATACGCACCTCAGTATAGACCCGCAAATAGTCGGATCCCTCATAAGAAGGACCCCCCATCAGGTACCCCCGATTTCGTAAACCTTGATCCCTGAACCCTAAACCCCAAGCCCTAAACCCTAAACCCTAAACCCTAGACCTCAAGCCCTAAACCCCAAACCCCAAACCCCTCATTTGTGCCTGCAGTGGCAGGCCGGCAGCTCCCGGCTGCGTGCTCAGGGGGGGTTTAGGGTTTAGGGTTTAGGGTTTAGGGTTTAGGGTTTAGGGTTTAGGGTTTAGGGTTTAGGGTGACCGCGCAAGCGGGCACTCTAAACTTTTGGGATCCTGTATTGCGCATGTACGCATATACATGTTTTTTTTTTTTATCTAAGGGCAGTTTCATGGTCTCTTGATATGCGCCCTTCAATGGTGACCCGTTACAGACACCTTATCCTATAAAACTCAGGGCCCCATTCTTCAGATTGATTTCTATGTGGTTGCCTGGGTGTGTTTCTGGCACGTCCAACTTACACGACAATTTCGAAACTGGAGCCTCTTTGTGGGGAGGGCCTGGAACTTTGGCCCCTGATAGACGAGCAGGCATGCTGCACTCAAGAGCAACCCGAATTACCCAATCTCAAGCACAGAGTTACAAACACATGAAAGCTCCATGTCCTCCCCAAAAGTAGGTCATCCCTCCTCCCCCCCCCCCCCCCCCCCCCCCCCCCCCCCCCCAAGAAAAACAGCAAACACCGCGCACACATACACATGTAACTAAATCCATGCGATGAAGCCACGAGCTCTGCTAGTTTTTGCTGGATTTTGCTGGCTATCGTGGAGTGACCTCGCACTGCCGGCTGCCGGCATGACCGCAGCTGCGAAAGTTGCTCGGGCCGGGTGTGACTGCTGTGCATTTCGTAGCTTCTGTAGGAGATCAATGGTAACCCTAAATCCTAAACCCTCGGCGAACATCCCAAGTTCTGTGGGGGTCACAAAGGGCTTGCTAGTTTTCGGTTCCGGGCTTCGGGATCTCCGGGCGCTGCCGGCTCGCTAGGAACCGTCGCCTTTGCAAACACTTTCACCCTAAGTTTCTGAGGACTATGTTTAGGGTTTTTGGCCCCAAAGGCCTTCTTATATGAGGTTTTTTGGGGCTTTTTTTAGCCTAAGGGTCTTGGATTGGGCAGATGTCGTCCTCTGGGTTTGCAGGCAGATGCTGATGGCACGCAGCCCAGATGTCGCCAACACATCAACATACGGCTCCCGAGTAGATCTTTAAACTTATTGGGTTCCTTTATCTTGTAGTAAACTGAAGTTTAACCTTGTCTTTCTTTGGCTATTGGAGAAGTAAGAGTCCATGCAGAGCATGCCAGGACATCTCAAGCAGCTCAGAAGGGCTTGGACCATGTTTGCCTTGTTTTGGGTTTGCCGGGAATGTGGTGTATGTAAGAATCGATGCATACGTTTGTGGACCCAGTTTTCGGGATCCTACTGTTTAGGTACGTCTTAGGGTCCATGTACCTAGATAAGGAATACTTGGGCCTTAAAGTCTTGCTATGAAGGGACCTTGGGGCCCAAGAATTAGGGACATGGACTCTTTAGGTAACCTTGATCTTCTGAGCCCGCCTCGAAGAACCGGTTCGCACGCCGTCGGCCCATCTGAAAAATGGTCGGGCGCAGGGCGTGATTGCCCTACGTCTCTGAGTAATTGTGACACGCTAAACACATCTTCTATCTAGTCTAGGCTAGTTTTCCGACACGTGTGTCTTAGTCTTCCCCCCGGGAACCCTCAACTCAACCCTCAACCCGGCATCCTGTGCAGGCCATGCAGGTGAGGGGGGCTGTTGTTAGGGCTTGCAGGTCTTTGGTTTGCTGTGTTTTTTTGTGGGGGGTGGGGGTTCATGGGGTGGGGGGGGGGGGGGGGTTCATTCCCAGGCTGTTCGTTGAGGCAAGAAGGCGAACTTGCAGGGGTTCTGGGTAAGCCCTTGAGGGATGGGATGTGATATATATATATATATATATATATATTTGTTTTTATTTTCCCATCTCCCCCCTTATTGGGTTAGCATCATCTTCAGGAATATTATTCAGAGGGTGTAGGGCTTAGGGTTCATCGGGATCTTCCCTCTTATACTAACAGTCCTTAATCGGGATTGTAAGAAGTACATAAGAGTCCTTAATAGGGATTGTAAGAAGTAACCCCCCCCCCCCTTATTATAAGAGGTATTCAGGACTGTGAGTATAAGGGGGACCATCCCAAGGCTCCGGCATGTTGATGGAATAAGCTCAGCTGTTGCAGCCGTTTTGGCTCAGGGCTGCTGGGGGCATAAGTGTTCAATCTACTTGGCATAAGGTCTAAGCCCATCAAACCCCACAATCCGAACCGGTGACCCTCCAGCTGAGCAAGGTTGTTAGAGCCGAAATGGCATTGGAGATCATTGTTTCTGTTGTTCTCTGCGGCGTCGTTGTATCGACTCCCTCGGCTAAAGCTGTGCGCCACATGGCTTCGAGCGTGCCGTTCCTCCTTGTTCTCGCACTTTCTCCTGCTACCATCTTGCTCATTCTCTTCGCGTACTTTCAGAAAGTCGGCGATGGGCAACACGCCAATCGCATTCGAGCCTTCGTCGCGCAGTCGCAGCAGAAGCACAGCAAGCAGCTACGTGAGAAAGTGCAGGCACCTCGTGCGCCAAATGAACCCGAAAAATTGGTGTCATCCACCCTATAGACTGCTATAATCCCTAAAATCCTAATTAGTTATGAAGGTGTTATGGGCCATCAAGTTTTTAAGGTTTAGGGTTTAGGGTTTGGGGTGTAGGGTTTAGGGTTGAGAGCTTAGGGTCATCTGGTCTCCGAGGCAAGCGCACGGATTGAGAAGGCGACGGCGCAGGTCACCTGCATCATCTGCCTCGAAGACGTCGAATCGGGGCAACCCGTGAGAAGACTTCGATGTGGCCATCTGCGTCTTGTCTTTTTAGGGTTTGGGGTTTAGGGTTTAGGGTTTAGGGTTTAGGGTTTAGGGTATGCATCTCCAGCTTAAGCTCGCACACAGTACCCATGGGGGTGCTCCACCTTACGTCCAACCCAAGATATATTCCCGGCGCCAGGTTCCATCCCGATTGCATCTGCAGCTGGTGTTGCCACAAGGGCGACTGGGCAGTGTTGTGCCCCACATGCAGAGACAGTGAGCCCTTAACTGGAGCTGGGGCAGCAGATTCAGCGGCATGAGCCCGCAAAGAACGGCCCCCGCCATAGTGTATCATGAACTATGCTCATGCTAACCTAGGCTTCGCTCAGGATCTAGGGATTTAGGGTCGTAGGGTTTGGGGTGTAGGGTTCGGGGTTAGAAGGCACACCCGACCTCCCCCTCCTTCCAATACTACTGGTCCTGGGTAGCTTTGTAGGAAGCCCTAAAAATGATCTTCTCGATTGAGATCTGCCTTCACACGAGTAAGTAGCCAGGAAACCATCGCAAGTTGGCGCTTGAGGGAATATAGGGGTTAGGGTATAGGGTGAGATTCGAACCCTGATCAATCGATGCAGCTCTTCGTGTGCCGTCACAAGAAACGTTTGCTCAAGCTTCACGCTCACGTTTTGGCCCCTATATAAAGCCATTTAGAGGATTTCGAGCGGCTGTTAGTGTTATTGTCTGTGTGAAGGCAGGCTGCCTTCAAAAAGCTTGAGTGCAGTTGCTCTTGCCTGGGTGAGGCTTGTGCCTCTTGTGGCAAGTTGTGTACATCTACGGTGTTTATTGTAGAGCTTTAGGTTGAATTTGACATCCGTCGGGCCCAGGAAAATCAATCCAATTTAGCTGGAGCTGCGAGCTTGGGTCTAGTAATTTGGTTCACCTGCAGGAACCAAAGTAGACGAGCATCTCAGGTGATTGTCTGGGGGCCCACCGGTCTTTAGTTCGAATATGCTGTGCTGCGTCATGGGGCAACTGATGCACCACAGAATCTGTCAATCACAGGCATATTCTGGGGGCCTAACAAACCACATGAACATCAGGATCCTACAAGCAGAGTTTTTCGGAATCCCCCTTTTTGGGGCCCTTATGGCTTAAACCCTAAACCCTAAACCTTAAACCCTAAACCCGTGGTTTTTGGACCCCACACATTCTGGCGACAAGTCGCCCGCTCTCAGCGTTTTCAGCGCCGAACTTATGGTGGCAGCTTCAGACCAGCTTGCACAAAACAAGCATTTGATAGGGGGTAAAGGGGCTCTGCAGAAAAAGACGACGAACAAATGGGTTTAGGGTTTAGGGTTTAGGGGTTTTGCTGCCGCTGGCTGGCTGCGACGTGTATAGCCTTGACCGGGCGGGTCAAATCCCAGGCCAGAGCCTGTGTTTCCTGCGCCCCTTCGCAAGCCAATGCCGGAATTCAGACTCGTACCCCTAAGGACTCCTCTTTGCAAGAAGTTCCCTGAATATACTTTCAATTTGGCCCTAATCTTCTCTTAGAGGACAATTAAAAGTGGGTCCCAGGAGTCTTAAGTCCTGGGGTCTGTCTATGGCCACGCAGAAGGATGTGCCATTCTACCCTAAACCCTAAACCGTAAGCGCTAAGCCCTAAACCCTGAACCCTGAACCCTAAACCTTCTTCAACCCGGGCTTAGGCTTGGCTAAGGGGTTGAGGGACGAGGACGGGGCCTTGCCGTTCAGTCTTCGTCGAGGCAAACCATGGTATGCAACCCCGATTTGTGCCGGACGATTCACCTCCGCCTGGGCCGTCGGGACAGCAAAATTGCGTAGCAACAGGGGGGCTTCCACAGCAAAACCCGCCCCTGTAGGAAGCTTTTGCAGCCACACCCACATTGCCCTTGGGGTTTAGGGTCCAGGGTTTAGGGTTTACTTCCTGGACCTTTGCATTGTAGTCGCGTGTCTTCGGCATTTTCAGCGTCGAGTTTTCTTTTTCTCATCTTCCAAGCAAAAAACTTCGGCACTCCGAAGAAGGAGCCCTAAACCCGAAACCCTAAACCCTAAACCCTAAACCCTATACTCTTACTAGGTAAGCAAGCGATCTTTGATCTGTCTTTGCGGCCAGCCGCCATGGCATGGCCTATGCTGGGAGCTGGGGGCTGAGATTGGGCCCCTGTCTCTCTGTCTGTCTGTCTCTCTCTCTCTCTCTCTCTGTGTTGTGTGTGTGTGTGTGTGTGTCTGTGTGTCTGTGTGTCTGTGTGTCTGTGTGTGTCTGTGTGTCTCTGTGTGTGTCTGTGTGTGTCTGTGTGTGTCTCTGTGTGTCTCTGTGTGTCTGTGTCTCTGTGTCTCTGTGTCTCTGTGTCTCTCTCTCTCTTTCTCTCTCTCTCTCTCTCTCTCTCTCTCTCTCTCTCTCGGCGTTTGTGTGTGTTACTGCGTGTGTGTGTGTGTGTGCGCGCGTTATATCTGATTATATATATATATATATAAGCTCACCCCCCCCCAATGGACCCACCGCGGATGGCAGCCGAGTCCTAGCCAGATCAAGGCAAAAAAACAACAAAACAAGAAACTAACAAAAACCAACAAACCAAAAAAATCCAAAAAAACAAAAAAACAAAAAAACAAAAAAAAACAAAAAAACAAAAAAAACCATCTTTTCCAAAACTATGGGGCTGGGGCCTCCAAAAGATGGTTTTTTTGGTTTTCTCGAGAAAAAGATGGTTTTTTTGGTTCGAAACCATCTTTTTCTCGAGAAAAAGATGGTTTTTGAGCAGCCGCTCTTCTAAAAACCATCTTTTGCTCGAGAAAAAGATGGTTTTACCAGGACAAGACCTCCAAAAACCATCTTTTTCTCGAGAAAAAGATGGTTTTACCAGGACAAGACCTCCAAAAACCATCTTTTTCTCGAGAAAAAGATGGTTTTTCCAGGACAAGATCTCCAAAAACCATCTTTTTCTCGAGAAAAAGATGGTTTTTCGAAGAGCGGCTGCTCAAAAACCATCTTTTTCTCGAGAAAAAGATGGTTTCGAACCAAAAAAACCATCTTTTTCTCGAGAAAACCAAAAAAACCATCTCTTGAAGGCCCCAGCCCCATAGTTTTGGAAAAGATGGTTTTTTTGGTTTTTTTGTTTTTTTGGTTTTCTCGAGAAAAAGATGGTTTTTTGGTTCGAAACCATCTTTTTCTCGAGAAAAAGATTGTTTTGAGCAACCATCCTTCGAAAAACCATCTTTTTCTCGAGAAAAAGATGGTTTTACCAGGAGAAGACCTCCAAAAACCATCTTTTTCTCGAGAAAAAGATGGTTTTACCAGGACAAGACCTCCGGAAACCATCTTTTTCTCGAGAAAAAGATGGTTTTTCCAGGGTAAGATCTCTAAAAACCATCTTTTTCTCGAGAAAAAGATGGTTTTTCGAAGAGCGGCTGCTCAAAAACCATCTTTTTCTCGAGAAAAAGATGGTTTCGAACCAAAAAAACCATCTTTTTCTCGAGAAAACCAAAAAAACCATCTTTTGGAGGCCCCAGCCCCATAGTTTTGGAAAAGATGGTTTTTTTGGTTTTTTTTTTGTTTTTTTGGTTTGGTTTTTTTTGGTTTTTTTGGTTTTCTCGAGAAAAAGATGGTTAAGTTTTAGGGGTTTAAGCCTCATGCACTACAGGGTTATAAGGTTCTAATCCTATAGGTATTGCCTTAACCTTTAACCCTAAACCTTTAACTTTAAACCCTGCAGGGTTAACCCCGTGAGAAATTTAGAGATAGACCCCGAAAAGACCCTAAACCTTCTTACAGGGTGTAATGGTTTAAAAACCGATAGGACATGTATACCTTCAGCGCCTGTAGGGTTCAAGCCTTTGAACGTGCTAGACCCCTATAGGGTGCTAAGGTTCTGACCCTAAAGGGTTTAGGATTAAGGCTTAAATGCCCTCTAGGTTTAAATGCCTAAGTCTTAAACCCCAAACCTTTAAACCTTCATCCTATGGGGTTTGAAGGTCAAGGGTTTAGGCTTGATTGCCGAGGGCTTTAGGGTCCTGACCCTAGAGGGTTTAGGGTTAAGGAATAGATGCGTAAACCTTAAACCCTTAAGGTTTAAACTCTATGGGCTTAGGGGGCTTAGGTTTTTTTAAACCCTAAGCCTTTAAACCTTCACACTACAGAGTTTAGAGGTGTTAAGGGTGACAAATTGATTACATACTTAGCTTTAAATGCCTGAATCTTAAACCCCAAACCTTTAAACCTTAACCCTATAGGGTTTAAAGGTTAAGGGCTTAGTGTTAATCGCTGTCTTAGGTTTAAATGTCTGAATCTTAAACCCTAAAACTTTAAACCTTCACCCTATAGGGTTTAAAGGTTAAGGGTTTAGGTTGAATCGTCAGCTTGGATTTAAATGTCTAAGTAAAGAATCCTAAACCTTTAAATCTCATCCCTATGGGGTTTAAGGTTAAGGGTTCAATATGAACTGCCGGCATAGGTCTAAATACCTAAACCTTAAACTTAAACCCTAAACCTTTAAATATCTTAACCCTATAGGGTTTAAAGGTTAGAGGCTTAGCGTAAATTGCCGGAATAGGTTTAAATGCCTAAATCTTAAGCCCGAAACCTTTAAACCTTAGCCCAACAGGGTTTAAAGGTTAAGGGTTTAAAATTAGTTGCAGGCTTAATTAGGTTTAAATGCCTACATCTTATATCCTAAACCTTTAAAAATCTTAACCCTATAGGGTTTAAAGGTTAAGGGCTTGGCTACAGGTTTAAATGGCTAAATATTAAACCCTAAGCCTCTAAACTTTAACCCTACAGGGTTTAAAGGTTAAGGGTTTAAAATTAGTTGCAGGCTTAGGTTTAAAGCCTACATCTTAAACCCTAAACCTGTAAAAATCTCAACCCGATAGAATTTAAAGGTTAAGGGCTTAGCTTTAATTACCGGCATAGGTTCAAATGCCTAAATCTTAAACCCTTAACCTTTAAACCTTAACCCTACAGGGTTTAAAGGTTAAGGTTTTTTTTTTTGCAGGCTTAGGTTTAAATGCCTAGATCTTAAATTATAAACAAAAGCCAACAGAAAGAAAAACCCTCCGTGCGTGTGTGAGAGGGTGAATTAAGGAATACAGTCAAAAATCCGGTCACCGGAAAATCACCAGACAGCATAGGTTTTATCGGTATTTGCGGTACTTTTGCAAAGATCAAGGCCCGCGGTGGGTCCATTGGGGGGGGGGGGGTGACCATATATATATATAGACATATAAAATGGCATGAATGAATATGCATAGAAATACACAACTCATCACTGTAATATGTATATATATATATATATACATATGT